ATCCTTTGCACAGCACGTTGCTGGTGATACTATTGGCAGGAAAATACTTGCCTCCATGTGTCCCAGTACTGCTTTCATTTAACCACATGCTTCTTTAACTGAGACAAGGCCACATCAAAATCGACATATCATCGAATGGAAACGATTGTTCCCCTGGTTGCAAATTTTCCGTGTCTTGTCGACTGCTAAGCCCTTCATTATAAGCTTAATTCCTGTTTAAGGGACTTCGACGGCTGTTGTTTTCGGCTTACACCCACCAGCAGATCAGCGAGATCCTTCGAAGTCGACTCATCGGTTTGAACGGTGGGGTGGACTCGGATGCCATACAGCTGGCAGCGCGCAAAGTGGCGGCGGTGTCCGGTGACGTTAGACGCGCTTTGGAAATCTGCCGTCTGGCGGCCGATATATCCGCGAAAGAATCCGGTAAAAAGTCGACTCCTCGAGTGATCCTGACGATATCACACATCAAGGAAGCACTGAAGACCATGTCGGAAAACCCAAAGCTTCAGATGATCAGGTATTATTGAAAATCTTGTTATGAAATGCACTTTCGACGTTTACCAGTTAACCCTGGCTCTTCAACTTCAAGTTTCGATTCTGATTTCAAAAGCTGTTACAGTCCAGGTGGTTCCAAGAAAGAAGCCGGCTTGCCTAAACAGATGGCAGTCAGATCTTTAGATGAGAAGCATAGAAGAAATTTTAAAAATCATTAATGGAAAATCAAACACTTTTCTGGAAGAGGCAGGCTAAAACGATAGACAATGCAGCTCTGGAAAGCGATATAATGGCCTTATTCAGAAGAAACCATTGTTCCTTCGACAAAAACAGTCCTAAACTACTACCGCCCGTTAGAAACGCCCATTAACATAACCTCTGATTCCTTAGAAGTTGCTGATGCCGGGTAAACACCCTGATACAATTGTGAAATTAGATTCCCCTATGATATAATACCCAGGCAAGAGATGGATTGTAATCCTGGACTACGGATCCTTGAAAAAATTACTGAAGCCTTAAGCCAACTAAAAAATTACACAGCTGCAGGAAGTGATAGAAAACGACGAAAGAATTTGGAATGAACGGAGTGCTGGTATTGTTAAATCTCTTTGGATTGTTATGACAGA